AAAAATGCATGTCCTGCAACCCTTTTTTTTCCTAGAGGGTATTTTTCAAGTGAAAAGAGAGATATGGTTATCTGGAATATCCCATAGAGGTGCTTAACAAGGTGTGTGATATGAACTTGAGCTGTGTTTTTTAAAAATATTTTAAAAGTAATTTCCAGTTAAAGTTCGTTTCTGTTTAAAAGGCAATGATTGCTGTAGAACACGGGACCCACCAATAGCCTCAGAATGGTGTAAGCAGCTCTTGATGAAGAGTTTGACTGTTGCTTTTAAGGCTATAGAGCTAAATCAGCCGTTTATGCCACTAAAGTCCATAAACTGTTGATGATTAAAGATGGCCCTGATCCTAGAGTGCCACAACCCAGTTAGTAGTGTTTTATCAGTTAATCACAGTTCAGTAGTTCCAGATTTGAACATGTGAAAATTGAGGGTTTCGCAGGTAGAAATCCTGCTCTAGAACAAAGCTGCACAGTGTCTAGTCTAGAATATCTGCGGCCACTCACTCTGGAAACATTTACACACTGGTAACAAATAGCTCCTTGTTCCTTCAGCGATTAGGAGGATCAGGGTGGTTACTGAGTTGCTGGTTGTGGAATAGTGCTACTCCAGGGTGGATTGGAAGGGCTACGTGTTGAATACATGTTGTCTTAAACGTAAAGGGTTAATGGCAGCATGGTGGTGCAGTGGTTACCGTTGCTGCCTCGCAGGGCACCGCGTTTAATTCATGGGGTGCCATCTGCGTGCAGTTCATGTGCCACAAGCCAAACACATGCTTTTAGTTTAATTGGCTTCTGTAAAATTTGCTGTAGTGTGAATTTGTGGGTGTTGGTGTCTGTGTGTGGTCAAATCAGTGGTCTCTACTGGGGGGGCTCCAGTTCTTCACTGCTGGTATTTGAGTATTTTATACACTGCAGTGTGTGAGCTCCTGCCTTCTAGGTGTTGATTTAGACGACTTGAATTCAAATACAGTAGAATTAAGTTATCTTTTATTCCCACAGCTGTTAACCTGCTTAATTTGGACAATTGATTGTATATTTTACTTTACTTTTACTTTATCATCATACAAGAACAGTATGTCTGAATTAGTGAAAGAGTTCATATTGTGTTCATGTATTGTGAACTGTATCTTTTACCTGCCTGCTGAGCGAATTTCCCATCTGGGACGATGAAAGGAAGTAAGTGTCCCACAGAAATATGTTCATTTTCTTGATGGTGATTTCAGTTATTTGGGAGGTACAGTATGAGACAAATACTCCACCATCTGTAAAGTATGTAGAGCTGCGTTGCTCAGTACAGTGTCCACAATGTCCACAATAAAAGGGTTTGCAACTTTTTTTCTCCGGGTCTTAAAAGGTAGGTTTTGCGTTGATTTCTCATGAGTCGAAGTGTCTTGTCAGATGCCTTCATGTGCTCATGTAATGAAAAAGGGCTTTAAAAAAAGTGATTGTTCCATTGTCCTGACTGATTAGAATTGTGTGGCTCTGCTCTGTTTCTGCTTTTTTAAGGATGCATGATTTTGCCTTAATAGTCCTGACACCTATATTGCGCTTTTCTGGACACTCAACGCACTTTACAGGTAATGGGGACTCTCCTCCACCACCAATGTGTAGTCTCCACCTGGATGACGCAACAGCAGCCATAGTACTCCAGTACGCTCACTACACACCAGCTGTCAGTGGGGAGGAGAACAGAGTGATGAGGCCAATTCAGAGATGGGGATCGTTATGAGGCTGATTAATAAAGACCAGGGGACAATTTGAGAAGTTTAGAAAATGTAACACCCCAACTTTACATCATTGTCCACACAGACCGCAGGGTGAGCGCCCCCTACTGGTCCCACTAACTTCCAGCAGCAGCCTTAGTTTTTCCTAGGAGGTCTTCCATTCAGGTACTGACCAGGCTCACAGCTGCTCAGTTTCAGGTTGTGAGCTGCAGTGTGATATACTGGCTGACCAGTCAGGACCCTTCTCCATGCAGCTTGGTTGGTTGCTGGTCCAGGAGAGACAAGGCAGTTGACATTTGCAACTCGCTTCTTGGCAAGGAGCATGCACCACAGCCAAGTACTGTAACAGGCCGACTAGATTTCAAATAATAAAAAAAAACCCTCTCATTAAACCACTTCTCATCACGTACTCCAGCGCACACTGTGTGGAGTATTGTACTGCTGCTTAGGTCTGCCAGGCCTCTTTTCTGTCTTTGTGTAGCCTACAGTATGCATAATTCATTTTTCCTGCACACATGCCAAACGCCAAAAGAAAGAAACGAGAGACATAGAGTATACGTAATTAGTTAAATAAATATCCCCAACAATAATTCTTGCATCTTAACTCAGCCAAATCAGGGAGTTGAAGTTCATGTTTATGCAAGTGAGGAGTTCAGTTTTCTGAGTAATGCTCGGAGGAGCAAACATTTATCCTAATAGAGCAGTGGATGTGCTCTGCCCTCATTCAAGAGATTAAAAAATGGCACAAAGCTGTCATATTAACTTGATCTTCACTGTCACAGAGATGATTTCAACTGACATAAAATACCACGCTAAAAATGGAGAATACACGAACACAGACATACAGGGTAGAGTTTGGGCTTGTGTATTGTGCAGGGTCTTCTGTTTTGTCTTTGCTCATCCTATAGTATGCATAATTAATTATTCCGGTGCCAGACATAAGCTAAGATGATTCACATGTGGCAATGGTAAAAAGGGAATGCTTTCGAATGCAGACGGTCAATCAGAAGGATAAGACTGGCGATAAAGAAGCAAGGAGCTGTTGTTTGTTGAAGGGGGGATTCCCAGCTCAAACCCTAGCCCTGGTCAAATTGCTGAACTTCTTTGTGCTCCATTCTTGAAGAGACAAAAATCTCAGGTCCTTTTATTAGAAGCCTTGCTTGGCAGCTGTTGAGGTGTAAGCTATTTGAGAATTTGTACTAGCTTTTTTTGGTATGGGGGCACCCCTGTCTGTGTGATAGGCTAGGCTATGAGAAGAAAAAACAGATGTACAGTGTGCATCAATGAGAAGCCACATTTCTTCTGTTTTGCATGGGCTTTCTGTGCAGTGCTGAGTCGGGACCTGACTGAAACAGCTTGTTTATGAGGAGTAAGAGCCATGTTTCTGGAAGATTAGAGGATGTTGGGATACGTCCCCAAACCTGGAATATAGTCCTGAAAAGAGATGTTCAGAGCTTAACAACAGTTTCATCTACCCTCTCATACCTGTTCAGACTCATTTGTGCTTTGAGGGAATGGGAGTCTGCAGCAGAGCAGCGTTAGGATCTCGTGGGCTGCGTGCTGGGCAGTTGGCCCGTGCGC